TATTGTGAGATTTTGAGCAACAACCTCCTTCCCTCAGTCAGAGCATTGAAGATGGGTCGTGGCTGGGTCTTCCAACAGGACGACAACCCGAAGCACACAGTCAGGATAACCAAGGAGTGGCTCCGTAAGAGGCATATCAAGGTTCTGGAGTGGCCTAGCCAGTCTCCAGACCTCAATCCAACAGAACATCTTTGGAGGGAGCTGAAACTCCGCGTTGCTCAGCGACAGCCCCGAAACCTGACAGATCTAGAGGAGATCTGTGTGGAGGAGTGGGCCAAAATCCCTGTTGCAGTGTGTGCAAACCTGGTCAAGAACTACAGGAAACGTTTGACCTCTGTAATTGCAAAGAAAGGTTTCTGTACCAAATATTAGCACTGATTTTCTCAGGTGTTCAAATACTTTTGTTCAGCAGTGCAAGACAAATAAATTCTTTAAAAATCATATAATGTGATTTCCTGAATTTTTTTTTAATTCTGTCTCTCCGAGTGGGAATGCACCTACAATGTGAATTTCAGACCCCTCCATGATTTCTAAGTGGGAGAACTTGCAAAATCACAGGGTGTTCAAATACTTCTGTTCCTCACTGTATGCGTGATAGCCAAAGCAACAAATACCAACGACTACAGTCTATTGTCAAGTAATTACAAAGACTGCTTTGTTAGACTGTATTTATTTTAGTTAGGTGTAGCTAATAAGTTGCCAACTGAGTGTACTGTATATGTACCTATTAGAGATATCCCAATCCAATATTAAGTTTCAGCCAGTCCAGGCATATTTCACAGGATCGGTGTTGGCCAGAATAAAACCAATCCAATTCAATTCCTTATGTAGAACTACAGTCATGCATTCACGTTTTTGAGATGTGTGTCACTCAATTAATAGGCTGCTATATTAATCAGCCCAGCTGTCTACAGTGCCACACGTCGACCGGCATATCGGTCACATTTTACACACATAGCCATGACCTAAAACTTATTGATAGCTAGTCTATTTTTAGAGTTAGGTGATTAAAACACTCCCCAGAATCAACCAAAACAAATGAAAGCTCACTAGTTCCAATCAGAACTCCACCAAAACAGAAATCCATCAAGAAAAAACTGTTAAAACACATGATCTGTTACATCAATCCTACTGAATATGGCAGTTCTTTTTAAAGTGTGTGTACATTTTACTGTATTTACCCTTTTACCATGGGTTGGATACACTGCACATATACATGTAGGTGTAGCCAGTAATTCCCTTGCTGTCTAATGTTTGTCAGTTTTGGGCCATAGTTTTCTCTGTTCCGAAGTGTTTTTGCAGGCTCCTCTGTGTGTTTTTGTACACCAAGCGCTTCCTATGCTTGAGTGAACATGCGCTCGATATAGACACAAGCTGTAATGAATCTGTAGTTCTGAGAGTGTGTTGGCCAGCTCCCAGTTATCCTTTTATTTATATCAATAATTTAAGATAAAGTTATTTTGTAACCAAGACCTGATCCAGGATTTGAATCAATTAATTTCAGTTTTTCTATGTCTGATATTTAGTTGTATTTACTGTAGGTAAATATAAATATCGGTTTGGTATCGGTGAATACTTAATATTAAGGAAGCGGTATCGGGGCCTTAAAACTGGACTGGGACATCCCTACTACATACAGTGCTTGTTGTAGTAGAGCATGTCTATTGGTGACATGTTCCACTGTGATGCTTACACTGTCTTTGGTCATTCATCTGCAGGTGGTACAGATAGCGCAGAAGTTCACAGAGCTCCATAAGACTCTGGTGGCACCAAGGGTTCTTGAACTGGCAAGTGAGGTTGTTGATACAGGAGACCCAATCATAAGGCCTCTCTGGTGGATTGCCAATGACGACGAGGCAGCCTATAAGATTGACTCCCAGTTCCTGATCGGGGATGACCTGATGGTGGCTCCAGTGTTGGAGCCTGGAAAGCAGGAGAGGGATATCTACCTGCCTGCAGGCCGATGGAGAAGCTACAAGGGGGAACATTTTGATAAAGGCCCCATTTACCTCACTGACTACCCTGTGGACCTGGATGAAGTAGCTTTCTTCACATGGGTTCACTGAAGATGTTAAAAAAGGCACATATTTATGCATGTCTGCATTCTTGTGAGCACACAAGACATAAAAGGAGATGCTTGTTCTTCAAAGGGAAATGACCACAGATCTGCTGCCACAGCAGAATGTGATTGTGATAAAGATTAACCGCAGGCCACCCCTGACGAGCTCTTTATCTCGACTGCCTGCAGATTATAACTGTCCACCCAAAGAACTTGAAAGAAGCCTGTATTCACTTCTGATTCTCTCATACCATCCATAAGCTGATCCTCATCCTCGTGCCTTCCACAGCAAACAGTAAAGCTGATCTCAGAATGTATCATTATCATTATTATCTTCCAGCCAATGGACATCTAGATTATACATTTTGTTTCAAAGCTGCTATAATGGTTTTAGTGTTTTAGGGTGAGATTTGGCTTCATTTCCGCCTCTGGGTTTATATTTTATGGTAGATGACAATAACTGTGTCATAAGGCAACTCATGTGTCTTTATTGTAGTTTGACAGGGTTGGGCACTGAACCAGCAATAAACATGCACTCAGTGCTGGACAGATGTACCTGTGCTCAGAGGGCATGCCAAACCTTATGTCATCATGGCAACTGCTGTATTGTGGAAACTCTTGACTATCCTAGGTTTAAGATGACATGCATTCACTGGCATTGCACTGACAACAACATGTAACTCCTTCGTTAGTCATGCGCTCTTTATA